AGGGGATCTGACAGCCTCTTCTGACCTCCGAGGGCAATGCACAACACAGGTGCACTTACCCACATGCAGGTAATACACACATACACAGAAAATTAAAAATAAATAATTTTTTTTAAAGTTAAAAAACAGAACTCAAAAGTCTGAATTCGGGCTTTTGTGCCTCAGATGCCCCCCTCCCCCCGCTGCTGACCATATTCAAAGTCCCTAGTTCATGGGGTATTCTGCTGAATTATGAATGCACTGTATCTGAAAGGGAACAAAAGATATTGAGTACCACTGGACGGCTGTTGACCTCATTTATGTGGATTTTCCCATTCAAAAAGTAACTTTGTTGTGCTGGACAGGTGAATTATTGAAGTCAATCAAAATCAGTCAACTGAAAACTGAGCAGGTGCCTGGTGGCACATAGCTGTAGTCCCAGTTCCCAGCTACTTAGGAGGCTGAGTCGGGGATATCAAAAGCTCAAGGCCTTGGGTTATAAAGTAACTTTAAGGCCCGCCTGAGTAATTTAGCAAGACCCTGCTTCAAAATTTAAATGTTTTAAAAAGGTTGAGGGCCTGAGAAGGGTCAGAAAAGTGCTTGCAGTGCAAGCTTGAAGACTTGAGTTTGGATCCCCAACACCCATAGATAAAGCTGGGCTTGGCAGTGTGCTGGGGAGGTGGAGGCAGGAAGATCTCTGGGACTTGTGAGCCAGTCAGTCTATTTGACATGGCAAGCTCAGTTCAGTGAGAGACCCTGTCTCAAAAACTAAGGTAGATGGGGTTGGAGAGATAACTCAGTGCTTAAGAGCATTTGCTGTTTTTCCAAAGGATGAGAGTTCAGTTTCCAGCACCCACATCTGGTGGCTCACAACTGCTTAGTTCTAGGAGTTCTGATGCCCTTTTCTGACCTCTGAGAGCGCCTGCATGCACAAGCACACACACACACACACACACACACACACACACAATTAAAAACAAACCAACAGTCCAGGTGTGGTGGCACACACCTTTAATCCCAGCACCTCAGAGGCAGAAGGAGGTGGATTTCTGTGAATTCAAGCCCAGCCTGGTCTACATAGCAAGTTCCAGGTCATCTGGGGCTACAGGGAGACCTGTCTCAAAAAGACCAAAAAAAAAATTCCAACAAACCTAAGATAGCGATTCAGTCAACCTCTGACTTCTCCCGCCCTCCCCCCGCCACATGCATATACATATGCACGAAACAGAACAAAGAGTTTGCTTTTGTTTAGTTTTGGTCTTTAGAAGCAGGGTCTTGATATATAACTTAGGCTGGTTCCAATATTTTCCTTCCTTCATCTCCCAAGTGCTGCTGGCATTGCAAGCATGCACCATAACACCAGCTCATTTTCTTTAGAGTACTGGAATTTGAATTTAGGGTCATACATGCCAGGAAAGTTCTCTGACACTGAGCTACATCCCTAGCCCATGGACCTTTTAAAACAACAACAAAACCCCAATAAAAACAGTACCTAGTAGTCAATAACTTTTGATGGCTTTGTAAAAACGCTGCAATACAGGCCCTGCTCTTGACTTTAAATCACCTTTGTTTCTCCAGCTTTGTACCCAGCTTCTTCAAATCCAAGAAGTCAGCCCGAAGCAGAAGGGTGGGTTTTTGATTCAGACCTAAGTTCCCATCCGTGTCTTCCACTTACTAGCTGTATAGCACGAGGCTGACTTCCAGTTCCTCAGTTCCATTTTGTTTTGGTTTGGTTTGGTTTCATTTTTTGTTTGTTTGTTTTGACACAGGGTCTCCCTATAGCCCCAGCTGGTCTGGAACTTGCTATGTAGACCAGGCAGGCTCCCATCTCACAGAGATTCTCCTGCCTCTACTTCCCCAGTGCTGGGACTAAAGGTGTGTACCATCACACCTGGCTATTCCTGAGTTCTAAAGGAGGCAGGTGGTCTCTATTCCAACCAGTTGTAACCAGGATTTGATGAGAGCAGAACTGATTCTAAGTGAACGGGGGACACATGCTCAGCACTACTCTGAATGCTATACACATGCAGCCTATTTTGGCTACACAAGAGGAAGGCTCCACTCTCCTGTTGTGCACAGATTCTGGTTCTGGGAGGGGCAGTATGGCTCTGTGAACCCAAGCAGTATGGCTCTGAAATCAGTGTCACCAGCCACTATTCAGCCTTTCCTGAATATACCACATATTCAGAGGCACATGAAAACTGCTCTGAGTGTTATAGCTGCAATTGTTATTAGTACAGATGGCAACCTTTCCTAGGCCACTTAGTTAAATGCTTGGGGGCAGGACCACTTGATTACACGCGAACACTTTTAGGAAGCAGCACTTAGCCTCATAGTGCCCAAAGGATCAAAGAAACTCCTGCTTCATCTCTCCTATCTCCACCCATCCATAGTCAGCCCTCATAGTCCCAGGGCAATGCATGTTCTCTATTCCATACTCCCAGCTGTGCTGGTTCTGGTGACTTCCAACACCTCCCTATAGCCAACCTCCAGGTGACTTAATGAAGTGTAGCCTGGGCCTGCTGGGGTATTTGTAGCACAGTTATAAGGGCAGGTCAGGCGTCAAACAACCCTGCCCACTGCCACCACAGCCAATGTAGACATCACACTGCAAGAGACAGAGATTCTTCTTCTTCCTTCTCCTTTTTTGTTTTTTGTTTTTGTTTTTTATTTATTATTATTTAATTTTTTAAAATTATTTTTATTTTTTTATTTATCATTTTTATTTTATGTGTATGAGTGTATTGCCTACATGTAGGTAAGAGGTAAG